CGCTGAGGACGCGGGAGGGCCCCGCGCAGCCTGCAATCCCTGCAGGCCGCCGAGGGGGCTGAGGCCGGGGTCACGTCCAGCCTGCAGCTCCGAGGGGACAGCAGGGGACAGCAGCACTCACCGGGCCGGGGGCGCTCCGTCCGTCCGTGCCGCACGCAGAGGCCGCCGGCTCCAGGCCGCTCCAGCGGCCACCCCGTGCCGCCACCAGCGCCTGCAGGGGGGCAGCCCGGCGTCAGCTCCCCAGCGGGGCAGGGTGCTCCCGAAACGCGGGGACACGATGGGGGCTGCGGCCCCGCGGGCTCCGCACGGGGACGGCGGCGGCCTCCGTTCTCCCGGCACCGCTCCGCGTGGGCGCAGCCGGAGCCGCCGCCGGCGCGCGCAGGGCAGGGCGGCGGGCACGGGGGGCGAGTGGGACACTCGGGTGCCCCACGAGGGGCACAGGACCCCGGGGCCGCCTTTGGGGGGTCCCTGCAGTCGAGGTCTGTTGGGGCTGCGAGGGCCGCTCCGCTCACCTGGCTGGGCGGGTCCGTCCCACAGCACCGGGCTCTGCGGCGTGGACACCCACGGCTCTTCCCGGCGCTCCAGCCGGTACAGGACGTCGGGCTTGGGGCCGGGGTAGCCTGAGGAGGGGACAGCAGCGACTTGGCGCGGGAGCACCTTGTCCTGCACCCGGAGCGCAGGGGCTGCGGCCGGAGAACCCCGGGCGGGAGCAGCTCCCAGCCCTGCGGGAGGGCAGGAGCCCCCCGAGCCCCCACGTGAGCAGACCCCCAGCTCGGGCCGCTGCCAGCGCTGTGGGGCCCAGCCCCACGGCTCAGGTCCCGGTGCGGGGAGCCCCTGCTTCTCTCTGTGCCCACAGCAGGGGCTCAACCCTTTGCCTGGCGTCCCTTGTAAACCCTCCGCGATGCCGACGGAGGCTGCCCCGCTCCGCACGGCGCCCGCTGCCGCCGCCGCCGCCGCCGCACGGTACCCAGCGAGGTGAGGAGCTCGTAATTGGCCACCATGACGCCGCGGTACAGCTCCCTCTGCCACTCCTCGGTGGCCTCCCACTCGGCGCGGCTCAGGTACACGGCGACGTCCTCGAAGGTGACGGGCTCCTGCCGGACACAAGGGTGGCGCTCACCGCGCGGGGCTCGCGGCTCCACGGTGTCCCCGGGGAAAGGGGCCGAACGGGACGCAGCGGGGCCGGAAGCGGCGCTTCCCGCGGGATCTGCGCTCCGGGGCTGGCCGGGGTGAGGGCCCTTGGAGAGCGGCGCTGCGGAGTCCCTTGGCTCCGGAGGCCTCTGTGAGTCCCTCCTTGGTGAGCCAGGGCCGGGACGCCCGCTTGGGGCTCAGCCCACCCGAGCCCGGGCACCCACAGGCCACATGGGGACGGTGAGGGAGTCGATACCACGGAGATGGGACAAAGCGGGTGGCGCAGGGGCACTACCATGGAGAGGGGTGACACGGAGTGGGTTGGGGTGCTACCATAGAGAGGTAGGACATGGTGGGGGGTCAATACCATAGAGGAGGGACAAGAGGAGGGGAAAGGGGCACTACCATGGAGAGGGGTGACATGGAGCAGGTTGGGGTGCTACCATAGAGAGGTGGGATATGGTGGGGTCAATACCATAGAGGAGGTCAAGGGGGGTGGGCACAGGGGCACTACCATGAAGAGGGGTGACACAGAGTGGGTTGGGGTGCTACCATAGAGAGGTGGGATATGGTGGGGTCAATACCATAGAGGAGGTCAAGGGGGGTGGGCACAGGGGCACTACCATGAAGAGGGGTGACACAGAGAGGGCCAGGGCGCTACCATAAAGAGGGGTGACTTGTTGGGGGTCAATACCATGGAGATGGGACAAGAGGGGGGGCGTCGCAGGGGCACAACCATAGAGAGGGCGACACAAGGGGGTCGGGGCACTACCATAGAGTGGGGTGACACGGAGCGGGTTGGGGGCACTACCATAGAGAGGTGGGATATGGTGTGGGGGGGTCAATACCATAGAGGAGGGGCAAGGGGGGCAGCGCAGGGGCACTACCATAGAGAGGGTCACACGCCACCGAGCAGCCTGCCCCTCCCCCCCGCGGTCCCGGGGGGCGGGGCCGGCTCCTACCTGCGCCTGTCCCGCCATGACCCGCGGGGAAGCCCCGGCGGAGGGTGGGGGGGGCGTCGAGCCTCGGCTTCCGGTGCGCCCGGCCGCCTCGGGCTCCGGGCCGGAAGTAGGCCGCGTGATGCGCTGCCCCGGAAGTCGCCCCCGGGCGCTTCCCGTGCGAATTGCTTCCTCCTGCCACTCTCCATCACGCGCTTCCGTCTGGAGCCCCGCCCCCTTCCGGAATCCAGCAACGCCACGTGACGGTGGGGCCCGTCTTTGCCCGCCTGACACGTGCCAGCGATTCGCCCCGCCCCTCAGGCGGGCGCGTGTCACGTGACCGGAAAAGCCGCATGGGCGCGGCCATCTTGTGCGCTGCCCCGAGTCGGTGCCGCCATTGCCTGGCTGGCCGTGGTGCCTGCTGGGGGCGGGGGGAGGGGGGGGATGCGCGTTGCCATGGCGACAGCGCCCCCCCCCACCGCGCGGCCTGCTTCGGCCTGCGCGGGTCGATCCCGCGGCCGCGGTGAACGGGCCCGGGAATGGCCGGACCGGGTCCGCGGCCTGGCCCCCCGCGCCGTGACACCGCCCGTTGGAGCCGCTTCCTGTGCGCGTCCTTAACGGGGTGCAGCAAGGCCCTGCAATGGCTGCGTGCCCCTACACAGCAGCAGCCCCTTGACCCGCGGGTGCAAAAGGTGGCCGCAGGTGGGCGCCTCCCCCACAGGAGTCATGGCCGGAACGTGGGCCGGCTCCTCGGCACCCTTGGGTGCTGCCTGCGGCTCCCTCGGTGCTGCCACCCGGTGCCATGACTCCCGTCCTGCCCCTGTCTGAACGGGCAGCCTCGCTAGTCCGCGCTTTTCTTTCACAGGACTTTGCGTCTTCCCACAGCTGTGTTTGAGCCACCAAAACCCCGTCCTAAGGGCCCCGCCTGTGTTAAGTTAAGTTAAGTTAAGTTAAGTTAAGTTAAGTTAAGTACCGTACTTTTCTCCCCTCTCTACAGACTCCCTCCGGGCCCTTAGCTGTTAGTTACAGCCAGTTACGAAGGGGGTTGTGTCACTGCTACACTTTGAATCCTGGGTGCGCAGACAGCCGGCTGCGGCGGGAGGAGGCGATTGTACAGGAGGGCTCGTGGAGAGCGGGTGACACCCTCTGCGTCCTCGTAGAGCGGGGAACAGGTTGTGTAGGGCACTTCTGCTCACGCACGCGGCGGCCTAGGAATGTTCGGATCCATGGGATAAGCGGCTCAGAAGGAGTATCTGGGCAAGAGGGTCCTGTGTCCTGTTTGGGCACCTAAGACGTGTTTTGTAGCGGGATCTGGGGGGGTATGTGGACATGGCTGCTTGGGAAGACCCAGAACACTGCGTGCCACCCTCTCTACCAGGTTTCCGAGTTATTTTCCGGGATCGTTTGGGTGGGTTACACAGATGTCTCTCCAGGTGGGGGTGGCAGAAAGAAGCAGCAGAAAGAATCCAGACCCTTCCATTCGTTCTGCTCTGGGAACTCGTCTGCATTTCTGGGGAGAGGCTGAACCTGCCTGTGTGCGACAGAGCTCCTCTCTGTGCCCGTCACTGCAGGACCGGGGCTGGCCGCCAGCAAGGCGGGACAGGGACATCTCCACGGTGCCAAGTCCCAACCTTGGTTCTGTGGCGGGTTGTGTTTAATGACTGCAGCTTCTTCTTCTCTCCTCTACCCCATCCAGCCCTCTCTGGGATCCCTCATAGCCCGGTTGCCCCAAGCTCTGCCTTCAAGAAGCAGCCGCTAGATGGACCTCAGCGTTCACAGTCGTTCTGCGTGAGAACCGTGAGCGTTTCCCAGCGCCCACTGGCATGGAGGTGCTGCTGCTTGATGGCTTCACAGATTCACAGATTCACAGAATATTTAAGGTTGGAAGGGACCTCTACAGATCATCTAGTCCAACCTTCCTGCTCAAGCAGGCACACCTASAGCATGTGGCACAGGGTGGCATCCAGGCGGGTTTTGAAGACCTCCAGAGTAGGAGACTCCACAACCYCCCTGGGCAGCCTGTTCCACTGCTCTGTTACCCTAACAGTAAAGAAGTTGCTCCTCGCCTGGAGACGGAACTTCTTGTGCTCCAGCTTGTGGCCATTTCCCCTCGTCCTATCGCTGGCCACCAGTGAGAACAGCCTATCCCCTTCCTCCCTGCATTCTYCCTTCCTGAACTTATACATATTAATCATATCCCCTCGGAGCCGTCTCTTCTCAGAGAAAACAGGCCCAGCTCACTCAGCCTCTCTTCATACGAGAGATGTTCCATTCCCTTAATCATCCTGGTTGCCCTTCTCTGGACCCTCTCCAGAAGCTCCATGTCCCTCCTATACTGGGGTGCCCAGAACTGCACACAGTACTCCAGGTGCGGCCTCACCAGAGCTGAGTAGAGGGGCAGAATCACCTCCCTTGACCTGCTGGCAACGCTCCTCCTGATGCAGGAGGAGAAGCCTCCTGATGCAGGCTTCCATCAAGTGTCTGTATCTTCCATCAAGATTTTATTTTATTTTTTGTAAAACTCTGTTTTATTGTAGGCACCCAATGTGGCACCTTTGGAGTCAAAGCTTCTTCTAGTAAAATGCTCCTGAATCCACGGAGCCAGCAGATTTACCAACCCGGTTCGTGTGCGAAGGACACGAGACGGAGCTGAAGTGTTGCCTGCAGGTGGAGCAGCGAGGAGAAGAACTGCTCAGCTGCAATGTGTCCCGTGAGGGGGTGACATTTCCCCGATTTGCCCGACTGTTGTGCACACTGTACGGTTAAAGGGTGAGAGGGCCGGGCACGATTTTTTTTCATGATACCCATGAGCTGAGGTCAGGGTGTTCGGGGAAGCTGATTTGCCGTCCGGGGAGATCTCCTCCCACAGTGCGCTTTACAAATCCGTGGCACTTGGGTAAACTGCAGCCACTGCATCTGCGGAGGGAAAATATAATAATCGGAAGCTGCAGAGTCCAATCTCCAAGGCAAAATACACAGGTACTGTTTGCTAATTGTTTTAAATGCTGCAGCTCTTCCTAGGGACAAGTAGGCACTTATGGAATGTGAGCTGTGAGCTGCATTATTACTAAGACTCAGCCAATTATTCTTTCCAAAAAAGATTAGAAAATCAGGATAAAGTGGAAATTTTGGTGGCGTTTCTGGAAGGCTAATTTAGCAAACTATTCCTTTTCAAGTTGGTTTGTTCTCTTAGTGCACATTGGGTCATATCTGAACTTCTGATGATGTCTTTGCCCTAAAAATATCCTAGTCAAGGAACGAGAGGGTATTTCCCTGCCCTCACAGAGTGTTTTTTGGGGAAAAAACATATTTATTTATATCCAAAGCACTTTTCCAAACTATTTTCCTGTAAGTTTGTCCTATGGATCTCTCGCGTACTTACCGTTTTTTAAGCTATTCTTAATTCTTTGTTTTACACTAAGGAGCCTCTTCCTGCCGAATACTGCAGAGGTTTTGGTTTTGGTTTTGTTCTGTTTTTTTGTTTCCCAGCTGCCGCAGGGTTTCTAGCTGGTTCCTTGGATCGCTGCTGGTAAGTGCGGCGCTGAACTCCGGGAAACCATCGCCTGGGTGGCAGTGCCGGCTCCCTGGGCAGCGGGACAGCGTCAGCCCTGCAGACTCAGCAGAAAAGAGGCGCGCGGAGCCCAGTGCCACGGGCGGGCGAAGGACGTCCCGGCTCAGAGTCTCTTGGGACTCTTCCCGTGTGCGCCCTGCCTGGAAGGGTGGCGTTGGCTTCATCTCTGGGGATATCAGTCCCACGGGCTGGAGGTTCAGGGTCCTCTCCCTGCCCTTTCCCAGTGCCCTTAGGAAGCAGGAGCTGGAGCCGCTGCTCCGGAGTGACTCCCGGTTGTGCCGTTGCTGGCGCAGGGCTGCGAGGCGTGGGAGAGGCTGGGGGGCTGTGCAGGAAGACGGGCTGCGTGAGACGGGCTCCGAGCGAGCGGCCTCGCCGCCGCCGCTTCCGCGGGGCTAGTGAAAGCGAAAGGCTTTCACGAGGGCTCTCGGAGGAGCCGTGGCGTTGGCGTGGGGAGGAGCTGGGCACCGCAGACACAGCTGGAGTGGCTCTGCTCGGCCACGGGCGCCGCGGACGGCGCTGCCCTCAGGGTGCCGCCGCCGGTGGTGGCTCTCACCAAGGCGCGACCTCGGTGGCACCGGCTCCCGCGGCTCTTTCCCACCCGATCCGAGTCGCTCGGCGCCAGCAGGACGATCCCAGCTCTCATCCAAGCGGGTGTGATGTTGTTGTCCTGCCCCAACTTTTCCTTGATGCCTTTCTGCACTGCAGGCTTCCCAAAGCCGCCTTTTATTCTCACTTCTCCCTGTCTTCTTTGAGCAAGAGCTAGGGCTCAGCTTGGCTGCTCCGGCGAATACCCACCCATAACAGCCCCGGTCGTGGTGCCCGGTGCGTGTCGCTCTCAATGTCATCGTGTGTTATTCCACAAGATTTGTGCCAAGATTCTGCCTTATTCCTCAGCCGAATGCCTATTAGCTTCCTTTTACAAGGGACTAATGTAAATTGATTACAGGGCTGCTTGTGTTTCCAGGTAAAAACCAGTGTTTTGTGTGTATAGAGAGAACGTATTAATTGTAGTGCAAATGTTATGCTAATTATTCTGATTACTCTGGGCGTAATTGCAATGTCATCATTCTGTAGTTGTAATATTATAATCTTTTAAAACAAGCTTTAAAGTAATTGTTATGATTAGAATCATTCACGATAGAGCCCTGGTGATGCCCTGCGCCGCACGGGGCTGGAGGAACGCGCCGCGGCCCCGCGGGGCAGGGAAACCTGGGGCTCCCGGCTCAGGGAGGTGCCCGTGGACGCCACGGTGCATTGACCACCTGTAGAGCTGCCTCTTTCTGTGCACTCACACCCACAGCATCTTGCAGCCTCGCCTCCCCAGTGGTTGTCTAACATCTCTCTTGCTGCTGGAGCAGAAATAAGGCAGTTTTTTTTTTTGCAAATTGTGCTTAAAACCTCTCTGTCTTCTCTGCTTTCAGGCTCTCCTCCGGACGGGACTCATTATGGCAGCCGGCGAGTTCAAAGGTGAGCTGTTTAGCCTGGGGATGTTGGCAAGCCAGCGACTCATTCTGCTTCTCTCTGAGTGCATTTAGGTGCATTAGGAAAATTTAAAGCCAGGTTTGCATTTATAACTGTATTTTCCACCTCTGTGCAAAGAGAAAAACTTGAGGACTTGCAAGAATACCTGTGGACAGCGTGGGCTCGAGGGTTTCCTGGGATTACCTCTCAGCTTCCCACCTCTATTCCTGCATTTCCCGAGGCAGATGGGGTTGCAGTGATGCAGCCCGAGGCACAACATGGTGTATAGAGTCGCCCCCAGACCCCGCCGTGTTCGTGCCTGCCGCGGGGAGCCCCTAGGTTGTTCTAAGGCAGCGCCCAGCTCGGGGCAGGGGTGGCCAAAGCCCTGGCACAAAGCTGCTGGGAGACGTGGGAAGTGTGGGGGCCACGCGGCAGGTCCCGGTGCTGCGGGAGCGCTGCCGGCGCCGCGGGATGCAGGGAAGCGGGAGCCCATCAGGAGGCGACCGGTACCTGCCGGCTCTGTGTCCCGGGCTGTCACAGCAATGACCGGCTAAGGCCAGGCCTGGAAGGGCCGAGCCCTGGGCCAGGGCTGGTGGGCCCAGGCTCTGAGCGCGGGGAGAACCTCTTGGGAGGCGCTGAGCCCGCCTGGGCCCGGCTCGCAGGAGCCCTGGGCAGGGTCTGCACCCCGCAGTGTTGGGAGCAGCCAGTCAGGGTGGCACTGACCTGCGGGGTGGCCGGATGACAAGGGAGGCCCCATGGCAGAGGTGGGCACGTTACCCCCAGCCGGGCCCTGCATCTCGGCTCCGGGAGCTCGGTTAGACCTTGCCAACACGGGACACGAGGGCATCCCGGTCCAGCAATGCCAGAAGGGCTTTTCCTTCTGCCCCCTTCTGCCTGGCACCGCGCGGGGCACCGGCCCTGCTGCGCGGGGCGCTGGGCGCTGGGGCTGGACACGCGTCCCCCTTTGCTCCCCCAGGGACCGAACTGAGCATCCTGCTCGTGGGAAAAACTGGCAGCGGGAAGAGCGCCACGGGGAACACCATCCTGGGCCGCACAGCCTTCGAATCCAAGGTAGCGCCGCACGCGGTGACGAGGGGTTGCTCCAAAGCAGAAGGAAGTTTTCAGGGAAGGAAAATCGCTGTCATCGACACTCCCGGCCTTTTCGATACCAGGGAAACCAATGAAAAGGTGGCGGAAAAGATTAAAGACGCCATTCGCCACCTCTTCCCGGGGGTGCATGCCATCCTTCTGGTGATGCAGCTGGGCCGAATCACGAACGAAGAGAAGGAAGTGGCTGCCTGGATAGCAAAGATCCTGCGCTTTGAGGCACAGAGGTACACAATCCTCCTGTTCACCCGAGGAGAAGAGCTTCAGAAGCCGGAGGATATCGAGAGTTTCATAGAAGGCAGTCCGTATCTCAAGGAGCTGAAAGCAAAGTTTGGAAACAGGACCGTTGTTTTCTGTAACAAAGATGCAGAGAAAAATGATAAGCAGGTTTCAACGCTGATTAGTATGATTGATGGGATGGTAGCAGCTAACTCTGAGAATCCGTGCTACACACAAGAAATGATGAAGGAAGATATTTGGGGAGTCTTTCGAAGGTTTTGTACTATACTTTAGAAGACGAAGATTCTGTTACACAGGAAACAACATCTTCATTTTGCCTTTTTCACTGCTCTCTGAAGCCCACAATTTCTCCTTCCTTTCCTAGTGTTGCTTTCTGTCAGCCTTTAAGTCCTGCACGGCTCTTTCCCACGATCTCTGGGGCTCGTTTGGGCATTGGCCCCGGCAGGGCCACAGCGGGGGACGTGTTTTGCTCTGCCGCCCTCGGGCTGCGTGTTGGCATCGCTCCGGGACCGGCTGCCCTGCTGGAGACGGGGAGATGGTCGGGCCCTGGCGGGGCGCGGTGCTTTCCAGCACCCTTATCAGGCGTCAGGCGCGGACAGGCTAAAACGAGCGGAAACGCCTGATCCGGGAGATAACAGGCCTTGCATTATGACCCCTGGGCGTGGCTGTAATTGTTTAATTGTATGTAATTGCTGGGCCGGAAGGAGCTTTCAATAAACGCTGCGCCTCGCCGTGCTGAGAAGGGTCAGTCCGTGACGGAGCCCTTGTGCCCGACGGAGGACGCGGGAGCCGCGCCGGGGCTGGGCGGGCACTCGGGCTGCCCCGGGGCCCCGGAGTGCCGTGTCTGTCGTGAGCTGCGCTCCGACCCGCGAGCGAGACGTCCCGCTCCTCGCGGCCGTGGACACAGAACCCCAGGGTCCTTAAGGGTGGAGGGGACCCCTGGAGCTCCCCCAGCGCAGCCCCTGCTCCACAGGGACACCCAGAGCACGGGGCACCCGGTGGCACCCAGGCGGCTTGGGGAGATGCCCAGAGCAGGAGCCTCCGCAGCCTCCCTGGGCAGCCTGGGCCAGGGCTCGGGCACCTCCCAGTGCAGCAGCTCTTCCTCCCGTGGAGATGGGACCTGCTGGGTGTCACCTTGTCCCCACTGCCCCTTGGCCTGCCACTGGCCACCACCGAGAAGAGCTCGGCCCCTTCCTCCCTCCATCCTCCCCTTGGGTAGGATGTTGATCAGATCCCCACTCAATCTTCTCTTCTCCAGGCCAAGCAAGCCTAGCTCACCAGTCTCTCCTCACACAAGAGATGCTCCACTCCCTTCATTATCTTTGTTTCTTCTCACGGGACTCCCTCTGGAAGCTCCATGTCCCTCTTGTCCCGAGTGGCCCAGAGCTGCCCCCAGTGCTCCAGGTTTGGCCTCCCCAGGGCTGAGCAGAGGGGCAGGATCAGGATCCCCTCCCTGYCCTGCTGCCAACGTCCTCCTGGTGCAGCCAGGAGCCCCTTGGCCTCCTTGGCCACAAGGACCCTCCTGCCTCGTAAGTAACTTGGTGTCAAGCAGGACTCCTAGGTCCCTATCTGTGGAGCTGCTCTCCAGCAGGTCAACCCCTAATCTGTCCAACACACAGTCTAGTGTCCAGCTCCGCAGCGCCTGGCTGCTGAGGGTGTCCCTCACCCTTTGCTGGCCGGGTTTCGTCAGCAGTCCTGGGCTCACTGGGCGGCTGCAGCAGCTCTGCACTGTGCCCGCTCCGGCTGTGGTGGCCCCAGGGCTCCTGAACGCTTGGGCAGCACCCAGAGCAAAGCCCCCTTCTCCGCGCTGCCGCGTGCGCAGCGCCCGCCTGGGCACGAGGAGGCAGCTCTCACRCGGTGAGCCCTGCGGGGCGACGCTCCTGCAGCGATGCGTGCCCTCCAGGAGCTGCCCAGCGCTCGGCAGCGGGCACTGGGAGCAGGCGGAGCCGCCGGCTCCTCCCTTCCCTGCTCGGGGGTGTCTGCAGCGGCCGTGGCCACCGCGGCCCGTGCCGGCCCGGCCCGGCCATCCCCGCCGCGGCACGTGCGCCTTGGTGGGACGAGGAGCGGCGCGGCCGGCGTGGGCAGCACGGGGCCGGGCTCGGGGCGCGGGGCGGCGCGGGGCAGCCCGGGGCAGCGCTGCCCTGCGGGGCGAGCGGCAGCTGCCCGCGGCAGGGCGAGGGCAGAGGGTCCCTTGCAGAGCACCGGGGACACCCGGACGGGGCGCGGACCCTCCCGCCGGCCGCCGCTCGCACTGCTGCCGCCCCGGGGGGCACGAGGCCCTGGCCCCGGTGTGCGTGGAGGCCGGAGGGGGCCTCGGCAGCGCTGCCGTCCCGTGGGGAGCCCCGGGAGCGGGAGGAGGGGGTGCCCCCCGGTGCTCCTGGGCTCTCCCGRGTGCAGCCGGTGAGCGCCGCGCGGCTCGGAGCGCAGCACGGAGCCCGCCAGGACACGGGCGAGCAGCAGGGCAGGGCTCGGGGCTCCCGCGGACGCGGGACGAGGGGCTCCGTCCCAAAGAGCCCCCCGGGGCCCGGGACGGCGGTGACGCTGCCGGGGCGCCCTCGGAGCACCCGCATGTGCTGCGCCCCCCACGGCCGCGGGCGACGGGGCCGGCCGGGGGTGCAGAGGGGCCGGGGGCTCTGTGGGTGCAGAGGGGCCGGGGCGGCCGTGCCGGCTGTGCCAGGACCCTCTGCAAACGCTCCGAGATGGGCGAGCGTCCAGCCCGGGAATGTGCAGGACAGCTGGCGCCCCGTGGCCACCAGCCAGCAAAGAGGCTTTTCCCGGAAACGAGAGAGTTCCTGTAAACAAGTGAGCTCGCATAAACGAGTGAGTTCCCGTAAACGAGTGAGTTCCCGTAAACGAGTGAGTTCCCGTAAAGGAGCGAGCTCTCCCAAACGAGCGAGCTCTCCCAAACAGGCGAGCTCTCCCAAACGAGCGAGCTCTCCCAAACGAGCGAGCTCTCCCAAACAGGCGAGCTCTCCCAAACGAGCGAGCTCTCACACACAAGTGAGTTCCTGTAAACGAGAGAGCTCTCATAAATGAGCGAGCTCTCACCAACACATGAGCGAGCTCTCACCAACACACGAGCGAGCTCTCAGCAATGCAGACCCACCGTGTGCCTCGGGCAAGGGGCAGGGAGGTTGGCGTGGCCAACGAGCTCGCCTTGCCGCTGCCCGGCTGCTGCTTCCCACAAGGACACCCAGGCTCCGGCTCTGCTCCCGTCCCCGCTCCGTGCCGGGCTGCCCTGTCCCTGCCCGCTGCTGCCCCACGCTCTCGCTTCCCCCGTCCCTGGGCTGCCCCACCAGGCTCTCCCCGGCACCAAAGGCTCTCTAGGCAGCACGGCTGGAGCACGTCATGGGCCACATCACACCAACCCCTGCGCGGYGTGCAAACAGTGCGAGGAAGAGCTGCTTGGACGTCATGGAGAGCTAGGGAGATGCTGCCGTTGCTGGGAGGAGAGCAGCTGGGTGTCAGTGAGAAAACAACCGAGAAAATCCCAGACCCCCAGAAGGGCTGAGGGTGGCAGGGASCCCTGGAGCTCCCCCAGCGCAGCCCCTGCTCCACAGGGACACCCAGAGCACGGGGCACCCGGTGGCACCCGGGCGGCTTGGGGAGATGCCCAGAGCAGGAGCCTCCGCAGCCTCCCTGGGCAGCCTGGGCCAGGGCTCGGGCACAGGTGCAGGACCCTGCCCTTGTCCTTGTTGAACCTCATGAGGTTCCTCTCTGCCCAAATCTCCAGCCTGTCCAGGTCCCTCTGGATGGCAGCACAGCCCCCCGGAGTGTCGGCCACTCCACCCAGCTTGGGATCATCTGCAAACCTTCTCAGGGTGCACCCTGTGCCCTCGTCCAGGTCATTGATGAACAAATTGAAGAGCACCGGGCCCAGGACTGATCCCTGGGGGACACCACTGGCCACAGGCCTCCAGCTGGACTCGGCCCCATTTATCACCACCCTCTGAGCTCTGCCATCCAGCCAGCCCTCGACCCACCTCACCGTGCACTCGTCCAGACCACACTTGCAGAGATTTCCTATGAGGATGTTATGGGAGAGGGTTCCAAAAGCATTGTTGAAGTCAAGCTAGACAACATGCACGGCTCTCCCCTCGTCCAGGTAGCCAGTCATCTCATCATAGAGGCTATTAGGTTCATCAGACCTGACTTCCCCTTGGTGAATCCATGCTGACTACTCCTGATCACCTTCTTTTTGTTCACATTTCTAGGGATGGTCTCTAGGATGAGCTGCTCCATCACCTTACCAGGGATGGAGGTGAGGCTGACCAGCCTGTACTTTCCTGGGTAATCCCTCTTGCCCTTTTTGAAGACAAAATCCAGGGCTGAACATGGAAAACTTGTCACAGAGTAGTTGTTTGACTCCTCTTTGTTGACTAGTTTTGCTGTGATGGGAAGAGGAATGGAAGAGCCAGACCTATACAGCATTGTACGTCAGGGAGTGCTTTGATTGCATAGAGCTCCACATGGGTGATGGGAAAGTCAAGTGCTTATGGATCAGGGCAAGGGAGAAGGCCAACAAGGCTGCTCGCCTGGTGGGAGTCTGCCATAGGCCACCCAAGCAGGACGAAGAGACAGATGAGGCATTCTACAAGCAGCTGGCAGAAGTCTTACCATCAGTAGTGCTGCTTCTGGCAGAGAACTTCAACCAGATATCTGTTGGAAATACAGTACGGCAGAGAAGAAACAGTCTAGGAGGTCTGTGGAGTGTTTGGAAGATAACTTCCTAGCACCGCTAGCAAGCGAGCCTACCGGGAGAGGAACCCCGCTGGACTGCTCTGTGCCAACAGAGAAGGACTGGTGGGCCATGTGACATCATCTTTGGCATTGTGACCTCAAAATGACAGAGCTTTCAGTTCTCAGTGAAGTTTGGAGAGGCGTGAGCAGGACCACTCTGCTGGACTTCTGGAGGGCGGAGATTGGTCTAGGACAGTGGTTGGGAGAGTCCTTTGGGAGACAGTCCTGAACAGGAAAGGAGTCCAGGAAGGCTGGATTTTTCTCAAGAAGGACATCTTAACGGTGCAGGAGTTGGCCGTCCCCGTGTGCCAAAGGATGAGCCGGAGGGGAAGAAGACTGGCCTGGCTGGATAGGGAACTATTGCTGAGACTCTGGAGAATAAAGAGTTCACCACCTTTGGAAGACGGGGCAGGTAACTCCAGAAGAGAACAGGGACATCGCTAGGCTATGTAGGGAGGAATTAGAAAGCTGAAAGCTCGGATGGAACTCCATCCAGCCATTGCTGTAAAGTGAACAAATAATGTTTCTACAAATACATTTACAAGAAGAGGAGGGCCAAGAAGAACCTCCGTCCTTTGCTGAGTGCAACAAGGAACATTGTCACCAAGGATGAGGACAAGGCTGAGGTTCTTAGTGCCTTCTTTGCCTCAGTCTTTAACATCCAGATCAGTTCTCCTCAAGGTACTTGGCTCCCTGAGCTGGAAGACATCTATCGAGAGCAGAATAAACCGCTCATAATCCAGGAGGAAACGGTCAGTGAGCTGCTACTCCACTTGGACACCCACAAGTCTATGTGGCCAGATGGGATCCACTCAACAGTTCTGAAGAAGCTGGCAGAAGTGCCCACCAAGCCATTCTCCATCATCTATCAGCAGCTGTGGTCAGAAGGGGAGGACCCAGGCAACTGCACGCTGGCCAATGTGATGCCATCTACAAGATGGGTTGGATGGAGGATGAATGAGGCAAAGGCTCTGCACGTGGTCTGCTCAGACCGCAGTAAGGCCTTGCCATAGTGTCCCACTGCCTTCTGCTGGAGAAGCCGGCAGCTTGTGCCCTAGGTGGAGCCTTCCCAGCATGAAGAACTGGCTGGATGGCTGGAACTGGTGAATGGAGTTAACTCCAGCTGGTGGCCAGTCACTGGCGGTGTTCCCTGGGGTGAGTGTTGGGACCAGTCGTCTTTAACACCTTGCTCAACAAACTGGATGAGGGGATTGAGGGCACCCTCAGCAACCCTGCAGAAAACAAAGCTGGGGAAGGGGCTGGAGCACAGACCTTGGAGGGGCAGCGGAGGGGCCTGGGGTTGTTTGGTGTGGAGAGCAGGAGGCTCCGGGGAGCCCTTGTCACCCTCTACAACTACCTGGAGGGAGGTGGTAGTGAGGCAGGGGTCAATCCCTTCTCCAGGATAACTATGGATGGGGCAAGAGGAAATGGCCTCAAGTTGCACCGGGGAGGTTTGGATTAGATCTTAGGAAGAATTTCTACATGGAAAGAGTGGTGGAGCACTGGAAGAGGCTGCCCAGGGAAGTGGTGGAGTCACCGTCCCTGGCAGCATTGAAGAAACGCGTGGATGAGGCACTTAGGGACATGGTTGAGCAGGTGGTGGGGATGGCTTTATGTGTGGACTTGATCATCTCCAAGGTCTTTTGCAACCTTAATGATTCTATGATTTCATGGTTCTATGATATGGAAGTTCCTGGGGTTACAGCGAGAGGAACCTTCATTATCTGAGAAATCGGGGTAGCGGCAGAGGGAGTCCCACACAAGTCCAGCGCACCCCATTCAGCCCCAGCCTCTCCTCACACCCAGCCATGTCCCGAGAGCCCCACATGGGCATCATGATGGTGCTGGCATCAGCACCATCATCCGGCTTCTCCCCAGCCCTCTCCCAGCCTTTCCCTAGGGACTCTCTACACTGCTGCCAGGTTTCCCTTGCTGCCTTTGCTGGACTAGGATTCCACTGGTGGAAGCTGCTGGGAAGGAGACTCTGTGGTGGAGGTTGATCAGGAGCAGAGTCCAGAAAGCAGGAACAAGGATACAAGGTGAGCTCCAACAAACCTCGGGGCTCATGGAAAGGGGCTGCACCAACAACCACACCACCAACCACCACACCACCAACAACCACACCAACAACAACCACAACCAACAACTGGATGCTCTGCCGATGCCCCTGCCAAAGGCGTGCCAGGCCCCGATCGCCACCGCAGCCCGACAGCTCCCCTGACCACACGGAGCCCAAGGGATGCTCCATGCGGACAGTCCACAAGGCAGGTTGCAGATCACCCCTTGCCCCCCAATGCCCGTTCCTCCTCCTTCCTTCCGCAGTGCCCGTGCTGTGCAATGGCTCTTGCAGCCACCTTCTGCGCGGCCGCTTTGGCGTTAAGGCCGAGTCGGGACGCTGACAGCACCTCCCAGACCCGGGGAAGCCTCTGGGCCCCTTTGGCATCCGGGCTGCCCAAGCCCTGGGTGGGAAGCGGGACCCACAACGTGCAGCCTCCCCCGTGCCAGCGCCGCCGCCTCTCCCCACGCAGGGAGGAGCCGATGCCTCCTTCTGCTCCCGCGGGACACGGCGGCACTTGTGCTCCGCTGGGAACACAGGGGGCTCGGAGGATGGGCCAGCAGATCCAGGGAGCAAAGACACGAGGGGAACAGTGGTGCCGGGTCCGGCACGCTTGGGGTGCACTCAGGCTGGTGGCAGCAGGACCCCTCTTGTCCCCAAGGGTCTTGTCCCCAGGGGTCTTGTCCCCGTGCTACCAGGGACGGTCCCAGGGATGGCTCTTCCCAGCTCGCGGGGCGGCAGCCGCGGATGGGAGCGCGGCCAGCAGAGACGCTGCCCGGCTGCAGCGCGCTGCCGCACGCACACGGGCAGCTGCCTGCACGCGTTAGGGCTGGCGCGAGGAGAGGGCCAGGGGGTGCCCTCGGAGCGAGCGCCCGTGTGCTCGGGGCGGGCACCCCGGGGCCCTCGGAGCGCCCGTGTGCTCGGGGCGGGCACCCCGGGGCCCTCGGAGCGCCCGTGTGCTCGGGGCGGGCACCCCGGGCCCCTCGGAGCACCCGTGTGCTCGGGGCGGGCACAGGGCGCAGGGCAGCGCGCAGGAGGGAGCCCGTCCCCGCGGGAGGAGCCAGCGCCGCGCGGCCGCCTCTCCGGCGCCAGGACTTTGCCTCCCGCTCCCGCTCCCGCCGCTGCTTCCCGGGGATGCGCGTTGCTCAGCGCGGAGCCGCTCCTGGGCAGCCCGTGCCTTGCGGGGCTGCTGCTGCGGGGCCAGCCTTGCTCGCAGGGACAAGGAGGGTTCCTCGGCGCTGTCCACATCGCTAGGGACACCTGAAGTGAGGAGCGGCGAGGGGCGGCGAGGAGCGGCGAGGAGCGGCGAGGGGCGGCGAGGGGCGGCGAGGAGCGGCGAGGAGCGGCGAGGAGCGGCGAGGAGCGGCGAGGAGCGGCGAGGGGCGGCGAGGAGCGGCGAGGGGCGGCGAGGAGCGGCGAGGGGCGGCGAGGAGCGGCGAGGAGCGGCGAGGAGCGGCGAGGAGCAGCGTCCTGCCACACAGAGCAGCGCGGAGCAGCGTTCTGCAGCGTGGAGGGGGACGGTCGCCTGCCTTGGCAGAGCGCCTGTTGCAGCGGGACAGCGCGCAGGTGCCGGTGTAGGGGAGGGACAAGTGCAATGGTTTATACTGGCGGGGGAGCTTGCACAGCAGCAGGGCAGCCCCAGGGC